AGAAGCCACTCTCAGTGCACGGCAAACTGCATCCTCAAAGGTCAGCCCAGGCTGCTGGGCCACGACAGAGGTCTTTTCTTGATTTATCAGTCCCTGTGTAGTTTCTGAACTTGGCAGCAAGAAGAAGGTTGGAAATAGTCCAAACAGGCTGCAGCCCAACCTCTTGGATCTCTGACTGAGGGGAGCCTTTAAATAAAAAGATGAGAATGGGGGTGTCCACCTCTGATTGTCTCAGCTAGTGGGGAAGGGGGAAGGGAGAGATGAGATTAGTTATTAAAGTGCCAATCAATAGACTAAATAAATGATCACAGTACCCCCAAATCTCTTGTCATACCTATCAAATAGATAGATGTGATCAACACACTGGGAAGCTGACAGCTGTTACATTTAGACATTTAAACATTAGGTGACGTTGTTTGCTAGTTTTACTTCAGCTGCATAAACCACTTCTGGAACCATGTTACTGCCAGGAGATTCCTTCCAAATGGCAAATCCACACATGCAAATGTTGACTTCGGCCTCAGTCTGCAGATAAAAACTTTCTGTACTTAAAATATTTCTTACCAAAATTATGTGGTCTGCTCGACCTCAGTAAGCACAGCTTTGTAGTGTGGCTTACATTCTGAACTGAAGGTGGGGTATGTGGGTATGGGGATACAGAAAACAAGGACCACTGGAGTAGATTTAGAAGCCTGAAATGTGCTAAAGAAGTCAGACCTTGTGCAGTTTACGGTCTTACCCACATGTAGAGGCAGGTCCCAGCTGACCACATCTCTGTGCTGTCAGTTAAATACTCTCTAACCAGGTTCTTTTAGATATTACACATGAGGAGAGTTTAATGTTTAGTATCAAATTACCTTATTGAGCATATTTGGCATTACATGGGATTTTGATTTAGCGGAGTGATACAGCAATGTACTGAAATCGCATCACAAGCATAATATAGCATTTGCAATATACAGCTGAATCACAGTGCAAACATGATTCTCATTACTGGTCTCTATATGCTCATTGTCACAATGCTGGGCCTCCCCAGTCACTGGGAAGGAATATGTTGGTTGAAACCATCTCAAGCCCATTGCTCTCTTCAAACTTTGTTTTATTTGTTGTCCAGTTTTTATACCTTGTGTTGGGCTGAGCCACATATACACCGCCCCCCCTCGCCACCCCTCATGCTGGTCTGGCTTGCTCAGGAAGACATTATCCTTTGTTAGTTGTCTGAGGGAACCTGATGACTCACTGGTGCAGCTGTCTTACCTAAAACCATGGTAACCCTCCAGTCTCCCTGGTGTTGAGGTAAGTGCAGCTTTCTTTACAATACATTGTTCCTCAAGCTCATTGTCCTTTCGCCCTTCTCCTCGGAGCTCTCCTCCACTGTGGGGGTGTGCTGGTCTGTCAAAAGCGCCCAGGTTTTCAGTACAAGGGAACAATTAGTTTCATTTGCCTAGATAGCCCAGATGAGATCCAGTATGTTTTCAGCATGGCAGATCACAGGAGCATGATAACAGTGCAAAGCAGAGGTCTGTAGAACCTGTCTCATTCACAAAGGACAGACTGCAATCCCATTTTTCCTTTGAAAGTGACAGAATATTTTGAATAGGGAATGAAGCACCAGCTGCCAGTGAGTGGGAAGCACAAGGAATACAAAAATCTATCCAATACTCTACAAAATTCAAAACTACTAGTTTGAAAGATACAAGTACCTTTCCAGATGTTTATTCATATATATTCTTACAACATAATGGCTGACAGTATTTCTTCTGCCTAATATTGATCTAAGAGTTGAAGCCTTAAATTCTATTTCCATTTCATGAATTATGTTTTTTAAGTCAGGATTAAATTAATAACTGTGTATTCTAATTACTTACCCTGAGGTTATTGATACAGACACAATACCCTACAGTAGCCATATCTTATTGTGCTAGACTTTAAACACATATGAATTAATTACCTAGAGGATGCAAAACCAAAATATAAGCAAGGCAGCTGAAAACGTACAAATGGAAACCAAAAACTGACTGTAAAAGTCATGGGGATAGACGGCAAGTGTTCTCAGCACACTAGAGGCTTAGTCATTTGCCTCTATCTCACAGAATTAAATCTGTCTTGATTCCATCTTGTTGTGAATCTGTCCTTAGTCTACATATGTGCTAAATGTACAAAATTTGAAGTGCTCTTGCTTGAGCAGTGTCACTGTTAAGTATGGGCAAGGGGTTGGGGAGCAGAAAGGGAGGGGTACTGAAATGTGGTGGTCTGCTGCTAATAAAGCACTACTGAGTGAAGAAAAGAAAGTCATAATTAAAAAAAAAATATTCTGGAATCCTTCTTTAGGCTAGTAACAGCAGAAAAGGCTCGAGTTTGCTTACTGGTTTGTGACTTGTCAGTTCGCTATAAACAAGAACAGTAGCAAGCATAATACATTTTTTAAGCCCCAGTATCATACTCAGCTCACCTGTTCACTCTTCCCAGGAAGAGAAAGGAGGTACGCTTAGGACTACACCAAATCTAAGGAGACTCCGCACTATACCTAAGCATTCCTCTGCACCTCTGCAACAGGAAGTACGGTTGCTACAGCCTAGATAAAAGCTGTGAATGCCTACGTAAAATGCTGTAAATAGGTGAATGACAGTAACTGGTTAGAAGAGTTCAGTGAGGGTTGCTTCATACCAGAAGAGGGGAAAAGCAAAGATCATTCCCATGTTTCTTAATATACTCCTTTTCTGAAGTAATGCAGATTAGCATTATTTTCATCTAAATCATATTTATTATCTTCTTCTCAACAAAAAAAACAACCAAACAAACAAAAAAAACCCCAACCCCCCAAAAGACATAGATTTGATATTGACCATGAAAACATCTAGGTACAGTATTAGAAACAATATTTGAGGTGTCAGGATAATGAGTTCCTCTTTTAAGCTTTTAATATGACCATAGAGAGCAAAACACTCCTTTGGTTTTATGATGGAATATAATTCCATCATTATTAAATAGACTGAGGGAAGCTACTCCTTCCCAGTTTAGTAGCACAATAGAGATAAACTACTTATTATATGTTCTAGTATGGCACAGTTTTTTTAAAAGAGTATGTAGAAATTATGCTTGCATTTCCTATTAAGCTTTTAATATGACCATAGAGAGCAAAACACTCCTTTGGTTTTATGATGGAATATAATTCCATCATTATTAAATAGACTGAGGGAAGCTACTCCTTCCCAGTTTAGTAGCACAATAGAGATAAACTACTTATTATATGTTCTAGTATGGCACAGTTTTTTTAAAAGAGTATGTAGAAATTATGCTTGCATTTCCTATATAAAAGGACAGAAGAAAATCAAATTATAACACCCCCCCCCGAAAAAATGAAACTATTCTTTATGTGTTAGTCTGGTAGTTATCCCAGCTCAGGATGTTCTTATACTGTGACATTTGTAACATCCTTAGACAAGGATTGCTCCTTACTTTCATAAATTCTAATTCAGACTCTCATCTGTTTTCAGTATAGATTTAGACCCATAAAACAACAGCTAAAGATTGAAAAGCTTGATCTGCAGTACAAGAGAAAGGTGATTTTCTTACTAATTAAGGTAGCAGAAATTTAAAACTATAATTATACTAAAGGATATTTTGTAAAAAATAAGGAAAAAATCCCCACAGCAGTAACTCCAAATGAGAAAAATTAATACAAGTCATAGAATCATAGAATCATTTAGGTTGGAAAAGACCCTTAAGATCATCGAGTGCAACCGTACACCTAACACTGCCGAGTCCAGCCCTAAACCGTGTCCCTAAGCGCCACGTATACTCATCTTCTAAAAGCCTCCGGGGATGGTGACTCAACCACTTCCCTGGGCAGCCTGTTCCAGTGCTTGACAACCCTTTCAGTGAAGAAATCTTGCCTAATATCCAACCCAAACCTCCCCTGGCCCAACCTGAGGCTGTTTCCAATTGTCCTATCACTTG